TTTATTTCTACGTTTATCAAATTCGCGATTTTAATTGGTCAATCAACAAATAGCATGGGTTAAAATTTTGTGTTCCCAGAACGGTCTCTCCTGTTCCACCATGCTAAAAAACTTAATAATCGTGCTATATACAAAAATCTTGTGTCATTTTACGGAATTGGAAACTAAACAATGCCAGTTGTGGCACGATAATAAAATTTTCATATTCAATCTTTCAGAAATCACTAATATATATATACCCGCACATTTATATTTTTTATTTTAACTGAACAATAAATAACAATGACTTCAACTGCAACTTTAGTCAATTTACACTGCAACAAAAACGGTACACCTGATCTTAGTTTGAAGCTTACAGCAACTGGGTTTGAATCTTCTCAATCTGTTACTAAAAGAAACTTGGAACCAATTGAATCCATTTGTGAACAGGTATCAAATTTACTTGACAAAGTCAAATCGATTGATCATAAGCTTGAGGATGTATCTAATGAAATAGTTGACTACATTAACAATAAATCATTGAAAGAAAATGACAATATTCGTGTTCTAGAAGAAATAGTTCAACAATTGATTTATAGAGTGGATGAAGATTATTTCGATTTTTATGGTAAACTAATCAAACATGTTGTTTTGAATATTAATCCAAAAATAAGTTATAATGTGAGCAGATCACTGTCATGCAAAGAAGGAGGAAAAGGAGTGGCGGGAGAGGAAGAATATTGTAAAGGTGATAGACTATTCAAGAAAATATTATTTGAGAGGTTGGAAAAAGAACTTGAAGATGGCATGAACCTAGATCCAATTTTATTATCAAACGAATTTTGTAACAATGAAGGTAGGAATTGTGAATGTAATCAAGAGGAATTGATGAAAAATAAAAAGTTCCTATATTTGTTGAGCAAGGAAAAAAATCATTATATTGGACTCGTTTATATGATGTGTGAATCTTTGAAATTAAATATTAATGGTGGGGTACTTGTCTGTTCAACCATCTTGAGATTATTCAATACTATCAAAAATAAACTTAATCATGATGATGATGTTGATGTTGAATATTTGGAAACTTGGAAACAAGAATTCAAAAGAAAAGTATTCATTGACATTTACTTGGAGTGCATTTGTGTAATCATGTATAATGTTGGAAAATTGTTATGTTCTGATGAATTATATAATCCTATTATGGAGCATTTCTTTTTAGAATTGTATTTTTTGAATAAATGGAATGAATTGAATACTGAAATCAAAGAGATTATAGATGTAAGTGGCATTTTGTACTAATACAAATGTAAATATTTGTACTAATTATATATTTTTGTTTACACATTTATGCTATATATTTATAATAATTAATTGTAAGAATTCAAATAATTAATTATGCATTTTAACATTCTAAAAAAAAAAAATTAGGAAATGGTTGAGTATAATTGGTCAAGAGACTCCAAAATTAGAGCTAAATTATTGTTAGTAGAAATCCTTAAGAATAAATGATTATTGATGTAAATTAATGATGTATTTTATTTTTGTTATTAGGAAATCTAAACGTGCTAGAATAATCAATTTCAGGTATGACTAAATAAAATCTTTAATTCTTGAAATTAATATTTTATAATTCAAAAAAGAAGTTCAAAATATTTAATCTTTCTTTGTAGGGAATTCAGAAATATTAAAAAAGTTGGTAAAGGCTAGAAATCCTTTGGTTATTATGTTATCATATCTTGGGAGGGATGCTTGCTGGATGTTGGTGGAATCAGATGACAGTTTGTGTCAAGTTTGTTGGTAATTAGTTATTGATTTATAATTTAAGATTGATTACTTTGTGAAGTTATTTCATCTCTTTCCTTTTTTTTATTTAATTATTATTTATTATTTGTAAATTGTATATATATATATATATATATAATTGTCAATGTTATAACAAGTAATGTGATATAGTTTTTATATCTCTATTTAGATTTTAGAATTATATTTTATTATTATTTTTATTAAATGATAATATATGTTTATGTATTTATATAATTGACAATTTCTTTACATGCTTATGCTTCTTTGCTTTATAAATCTTCTTGTCAATTATCTTATTAAGGCTCCAAACAAATCAAATCAAGTTGAATATTAAAGCAATTCCAATTCAAAAAACTGGATTCAATTCAATTCAATTCGTTCCATGACTTGATTTGATTTGATTTGAATCAAACCAGATTTTTAAAAATAAAATGTGTTAGAATAAGGCAAATTCGGTCAAACCTTATTTCAACAACCTTATAAAAAATTATGTACAGAATAGGTACTAGTGTTGAATAGATGCAGAATAAATACACACGGAAAAAACATATTTTTGATATGGAATGCATTAGAAAAATGCATTTTGATACTAATGCTAAATACAATACCAACACTAATAGAGGGGAATGTTGGTTCAAATTTTGTTGATTTGTTCCAAATCTTACAGTTCACTCTCTCTATAACGGATCATTGGAATTAGAAAAAATATCCGTTATTATTAATGTATTTTTCCGCAAAAATCATAGGAAAGAAATCCATCTTTGACAAATAAAAAGCAGACTGATTGTTTTCAACATCTTGAAGAATTTTTATCTCTGTAAACCAACAAATCAGCATTTTTTATTTTTAAAAGAAATCGATTTTTATTTCTACGAACCAACAAATCCTAAATTCTTTGTAAAAAGAGATCGATTTAAAGTCAAGCTCTGGACGAATCAAACCAAATACAAATCAAATATCGTATTTTTTATTCGATTCGACTTGGTTCGAATCTAATTCAAATATATACACCATATGAATTCTAAAAAAGTTGCCTTTGGTTTCGAAAGTCAAAACAAATACTTACCTGGTGCAATAATTGCATTTTGTTTTTCAATCTACAACTGTGAAATAATTCCACATATCCAAACGCCAACCCAAAATTTTAATTATAAATTTCGATTTCACACAGTTCCAATTTCACATACACCAGGTCCCAAACTTTGCAATATAAATTATTTCTTTTTACAAACAATAACCGATTCATTAATTCATGCCCTAAACATGTTCTTTTAGAGGTAACCAAATTTCTTGCATAAGAAAAAAAAACACTCGCATGGAACAGAGGTGGCAGGAATTGAGAAGTTTTTATGTGTAACTCTACTAAAAATGGGAAAAGGGTTCTGATTGTCCTTCCACCATTGATAAACATCAACTCTTTCAGATTGAATTGGAGCTATCATTTCATTTAAGTAATTATCTATTTACCAAGAATAATATGCTAATATAAATTTGAAACAAAAATTATACATAAGAAACAATTGATCTTACATGAAAAAGAACTCAACAATCTCTTAATTGTTAATTAATAAAAAAATAAAAGAAATGACAAATTGATAGTGTCATTGCAAGATAATTACAACAATATTTTTGATTAAATTATTATTTACAATTTTATAATAAATTTGTTAACTGTACATCAAATTTTCACAATCAATTATTGAATTACTCAAAATAATTAAATTTGCAAGTAGATTAATCATTGAAAAACCTTTAAGAACTATAGTTGTAATCAGTGTATAGAATTTAGTTGGGGAGATAGTGCAATACAAAAATCAGCAAAATAGATATCAATAGATAATGATACATGCACAATTAAATTTGCATTATGGCAAATTTCATACATTGGTTGTAATAGATACTTAAACATAATATGTTCAAGAGGAATCATAAGTTAGCATTTTAGAAAACCATAAATATTATATGGATATGTTAATTTATTATTGTCTTTCTTCCACCGGGTGATCATTTTCATGACCCAGATGCACCCAACGGTTCCAATCCCTAATTTATTATTTTTAATTTAAAACGGAATCGAGTTGGTGCAGGTTAAAAAACACAGAAATTTGGAGGTAATAAATGAGGGAAATACAAGTTGTCTGAAGAAATTAGCAAATAAATAAGATCACACACCATCAAAAAGAAGTTGACAAATGAGGAGAAAATAATAATGCATGTAAATTTCGAATTTTAAATAAAAGTATTTATTTAGCACTACTACTATACATTTCTCCTCGCAATATTATTAATGATCAAATGTTAATATTACAAAAAATATTCCAAATGAACAAATAAATTAAATTTTATCTATTACCACTACTTTAATATCATCATCGTCCTCTTCATTGTTCCAATCAATATTATTTTTACCTTTAACTATACTACTATCACCATCATCACCATCATCACCACCATCACCACCACCATCACCATCACCATCACCGTCACCATCACCGTCACCATCATCTTTATATGGCTGTTGTTGTTGATCCTTAAATCTTTGTTCTAAATCTTTATATCCACCGTATTTATAAATAATTGAAGCAATGGCCCAAGTTAAAATAAAAATACCAATTATAACAAATCCAATTGTGCCAAAATGATTTCCAAGTGATGCAAAGAAATCCCAAAATGCACCCTCAAATCCCAACTTATCACCAATTATATTGAATAATTCAATTATCCCAATAACAAATGCAACCAAAACTGATAATAATGTTATGATGAAATTGTAATATAATTTCCTAATTGGATTTATATAAGCCCATGTGTAAGTACCCAACATTAATATTCCATCCAAAGTATCAACTAATGCCATACCAGATGTAAATAATAAAGGAAATAATAATATGAGCCATATTGATAATCCTTTATTGGCTTGAAATGCTGCTATGGCTAATAAACCTACTTCCGTTGATGTATCAAATCCAAATCCAAACAATACTCCTAAAGGATACATTTTCCAACTGGCGTCAATGAATTTGAATATTGGATTGAAGAACCTACCTAAGCACCCTGAATTATTTAATATATCTTCGATATTTTCTTCTTTGTAATCTCCTGATTCTTTAAATTTCTTTAAAGATTTGTATATGGATATCAACACAAATGTATTGATTATTCCAATGATAAATAAAAATGTTGCAGACACTGTCGTACCAATCAATCCTCCAATTGTTTCAAAATCTCCAAACCTTTCTTTGATTGTTGTGGCAGTGATTGCTATGGCTATTGTGGCACACATGACAATTGTAGAGTGTCCTAGTGAAAAAAACAATCCTACTGACACCGAATGTTTACCAGTTTGTAATAGCTTTCTTGTCACGTTGTCAATAGCCGCTAAATGGTCGGCATCAACAGCATGTCTCAACCCTAAAGTATAAGCTAATGCTGCTGTACCTAATAATGAAGGAAAGTCTCGGAATGCAAATGCTGTTGCAATCCAAACTCCAATATTTACCAGCACTAAACTTGATAAGATAATAATTACTTTACGTCGAATTTGTTTTTCATTTAATTTTTGCAATAACAAAGGAGTCTTTGAAGTCATGATTGGTTGAGAAGTTTCTGTCATTATTTATAATATTACTCTTACAATTAATATTGTTATGAGTTATTATTACTTCACTATTATCTTTATTTTTATAAAAAAAGAATTTCTTGTACTCTTTCCCTATCTTCAATTCTTTTTTTACCCTTTCGCTAACTGCGAAATAAAAATTGAAACAAGTTCAAGAAAAATTTCCCATTTTCAAAAAAAATATTTTGATTATCAAAATGTAGATCGTGCGAGGAGAAAAAACTTTATTTTCATACTGTATGGGTGGGTGATACTATGAATCATAATAATCTTATATATTACTTTGAAGTTCTCCGCCATATTAGTATTAGTATTATTTTCTAAAAAACTAAAAAAAAGAAAATTCGGATAAATAAAAAAAATATTTTTTCAAACACTAACAAAGGTAATTAATTACATAGCGAATCTCGATTTAGCGATGTTTAACAAAATGTCTCAATCTAACGGATTGAGCAAAATAAGTTCTCTCAGTATAACGGACTTGCTAATTAAATCTCGGTATAATAATAACGGGTTTCTCTAACTGATCCGTTCGTTATAACGAGACTCGCTTTGCATATATATATATATATATATTCAATTAATTATTTTTTATCGTACTTGTTGAATATATTTATCGAAAGAATCGAATCCTTTTTAATACGAATTTGGATCGTAATATATCATTCTGGCCTTTTATGATTGATCTTTGACATTTCATAGCATTAAAAATATGTATGAGAAAAAAATTCATAACAAGTTTTTTATTCTCACAAATGAGTTGGCCCTCCCCTGGAGATGCCATTGATGACCGAAATCCCATATTCGCCTCACTCAAGAAGTTACTTGGATGATTTTACTTTTGATTTATTTATCAGTTTCGCAAAAAAAAATTTATATTTTCTCTAATAATGCATTCACTGCTACTTCCTTCTTGATAAATAATTAGGATGGATTGTTATAATTATTATTAGATAAAAAAAAATAATTAAAAATTTGCAAAGTTTTGGTTCACGAGCGCCCCTAGCAAAAGTTCCTAGATTAGCCCATAATAATAAAGGGTATATCAAGCTGATTTTTAGCCGATCGATTTCTCTTGGCGCTCTAATACTAATACTAATGCTAATTAATAAACTGAAACTATTAATTTAATTTTTATTATCCTCTCCCTTTCTGACAAATTCAACGTATAAAAAATTAGCATAATCATTTTCGTGCAACTTCAAAGAATTATTTAAAGACCGCGAATTTGAACTTCATTTAGGTAATAATAATAATTGTAATAATAAAAACGATATTAATAAAAACAACATTATTTTAAAACAAATTATAAAATATTTGTAGAGCGCTATCCTTAAATAAATAAACATTTGCTCAACTAATTGAAAAAAAGTTACACCACAAATCTGAAAATAATAAGTTCAACCATACCCATCATGAAATACACTTTCTTTACTCTTATCATTGGTATAGTCTCGGGCCTAGCGCTTAGCTCAGCTTGGATGCCGGTTATCGAAGGTAAAAGATTTCTTAAAGCAAATGTTCATCGCTACCTTTGCTAAATTCACGTCGTGAATATGACTTCTTCATTTTTCCAACTAATCTTCAAATTTTAAAATTCTTCCCACTGCATAGCCGATTGTTCGATAGGTGAAGGAAAACGCGATTGTCATTCAGGCTTTTCTTGTAGCAGCAATGACGATTGTATATTTAAAAAATGTGACAATTTCGTCTGCGTGCGCAAGGTGGGTAGTTGCACGGTAGGAGGCAAGAAGAACAATTGTCAACTGGGTCAACCCTGTGTTAGTAGTGATGACTGCGCTACACCTGGCTGTGCAGAAAATGATAATGGAAGCCCTGTTTGCGTCTGATCATAGAAGACTTTCATAGTTTGATCCACTGAATATATTTTATAAAATAAATTGCCAATAGTCATGTAATATGATATTTACGTAATTAAAGTATACAACCTTCAGAGTTGGCTTTACTGAATGTATTTATAAACCATCAATAGTCATGTAATATGACATTTACATAATTATATTAGATTAATAATAGCAATAAAAATTGTAATTCATACAGAATTTCCATATATAAATTTCTATAGTATTATTATTATTATTATTATTATTATGTACTCGTTAAGAATCCGTTAATAATAATAATTTCTAAAATTTTTGTCCTGCAATCAGTCAGCCTTTTTAAAAAGGCTATTGAATATTTAATATTAATATATTAATATGAACAGATTTTTGAAAAACAGCTCATTTTATAGGTTAAGAGCAGTACTTTTTTATTGAATATGCTTTAATATGAAATGCTTTTACTGTTGGTTTTAATTATAACGTGGGAAAAATTCACATGGACATTCTGTGCATGTTGATCTGTATTTTTTGGATGCACGCCAAGTTATTGTGATGCGTATGTGTGCAAGGAAGACCATTTGCACATTTAAAAAAATTCCTTGCAGATGTGCAAGTTAATTTAAAGACTACCTACTTATATTTTAATGAAATAAACAATATAAAATAGATTATATAAACCTTTTTTCTTATGTCATCAAGATCTCCCTCCTTCTTTAGCATTATTTTTAGAAATGTGCCCAAGATTATGGGTATTAAATTTTTGTGTTACTTTCCATCTTAAAAGGATCACGATATCTTTTTTATTTTCACAAAAAAAAAAAAAAACCAAGCTTCTCCTCTCTATAATTCTCTATAATTCTCTATTATACTTTGATCAGTTTCTTATGCTTGTTTATACGTAAATTGGCTCATATTTCTTTTACAAAAAAATATTGTTTCCTAAAAGTTTTTTTTTTAATACTAGACAAAAAAACTTTTTCAAGTGTAGAAAAGATATTTTTTTAATTTATTAAATTTAAAAAATCAAGGTAATCAATTTATTTATTTTTAATAAGAAAAAAGGAGGTTTAAATAGTTTTATCGTAATTTAAAATTTTTAAAAAAGTCAATGAAAATCGTCTTAATCATCCATCATCTACAAAAAAATAATATTTATTTAGACATAAAGATTAACATTCAACAGAAAATAATCAGCAAAATAATATACATATATATATATTAAAAAAACAAAAAATAATAATAATGAGCAATTATTCAGCTAATCCAGCCTCTAATGAAGCTTCAACTACTAATGAAATTCAAAGATTATCATCAGCCATTAAAAACACCACTACATCTACTACTACATCCACCGAAACAATTACCACTATTACTACTGCGGATTCAAATAATGCAGCAACTTCTGCAACATCAATCATTAATTCATCTAACAACACAAAAGCATTTGATACTAAAGCAAAATCATCAACAGAATATGAGTTAATAATTTATAAATTATTATAAAAAATGATTATCATAATTATCACTTACTTATAATTATAATTTCCTATTAATCTTCCTCTCTCATATATTATTCTTTAGTCATAAAAATGCTGCTGGATCATCCAATTGTGTCGTAAAAACTGGAGAAGTATGGGCTAACAATAGCAGTTCAACTTATCCGTTTGGTCCTTATCCTCCAAAATCAGCAAAAACTTACGAAGAACATTCTTTGGACCCTGCTCTTTTTAATGATCCTTCAATGAAATTAACTCCTGCTACAACTCCTGCTGCTACCACAACTGCTACTCCAGCGAACTATTATGGCCAATCCCCAATCGGTTTAGCTCAACATGAACCTGTTAATTATGCAATGGGTACTACAACACAAGAATATGCAGCAATTGCTGCCTTGAGTGGTGGTGGTGGTGGTGGTGGTGCAAGTTATACTGTCACAAATGATATATCCATTATTCCAACTACAAATAATAATAATGACAGCACACCAGATAAACCACAAACATTATCTCCAAATGTACCCTCCCCTCAAGATATGATGACTACTTTTAATTCAAAAACTATTTCATCAACTCCTAAAAGATATAAATGTGAAGTTTGTCAAAAGAGATTCACGAGACCAAGTTCTCTACAAACTCATATGTATAGTCATACTGGTGAAAAACGTAAGTGATAATATATTTTTGAATCGGATGGTTTATTTATTGATTACCTTTTTTTATAATTTTATTTTTTGTTTGTTTATTAGCATTTAAATGTTCAGTGGATGGATGTGGACGTCATTTTTCTGTTGTCAGTAATCTTCGTCGTCACCAAAAGATTCATGGAAATAATAATAATGATGGTGATTCATCACCAAATGTGACCAATGTGACACCTTCCACAATTTAAATTTTTATTAATGGTACCAAGAATTGGAATTGTAAGAGTGGTGTTTATTTTTTGTTTCAGGCTAATATTAAAATGCATAAATATTAGGAAATTATGTGTGTATGATTGGTAAAAATCATCATATAATTTTAGCTTTTCTTTGGATTTTTAGTACCATTTTTTTACCATTACTATTATTATTAAATAAAGTATATACGTTCAACTTAAATAAACATTTATATCTGTCGTGCGACGTTGAACACACTAACTGCCGATTCTCCATTGAAAAATATGACTCGCTTTAAAAAAATTGTCATAAATATTATCAATCAAAACTTGATCATTCGAGAAAAAACTTTCTCTAATTTGCCATCCTCGAAACATTAGGAACATTATACCATTTAGTCGAAATACAACTTCACCAATAACAGTTTCATTTGTCATTTCACCTAAACCAATTGTATATAAAATAATAATAATCAAAATTCAGGTATTGATAGTATTATTATTTATAGATAATAATGGCATATGCAACCACAATTAAATGCAGTTACGATTAACCAAATCCGACCAAGAAATATATACGCTAGCAAGATGACATTAAAAAAAGATAAAACCCGTTTTTGAAAGTGTAAAGCTTATTCTTGGTTTCATTAAAAAAAAACAATAGATTTCTTTATTGTTAAAGAAATCAACCAAGACTTTTTAGTTTAAAGACACATCGCTTGCCACTGAATATTTAAACCAATCAAATTGTCAGTCGATAATGGAAAAAAAACCTCTTGATATATATTTTTTTAAATAATATGGGACATACTGCAACAGGTGAACATTAATTACATCACATAAAGAATTCAGTATTTATGATGATTATGTGATACATTTGATGTTATTTATTAGTCGAAATATTCTGTCATTCGACATTTAAGCTGTCGAAGGTCTAATTGATGTCGAAATTCCTAAATGCTATTGAAATTCCTAATACTAAACGTTGTCAAAGATTGATGAAATGTTTAAACATATTAAACAATACAGACTATTCGTAAGATACACACCAATAAACCCCCTACATTGCATTAATATTTTTCATCACGCATTATTTATGATATTCCAAGTTGCCATATAATGTTAATGATGGGAAGTTTAACGATAAAATATTTACCTTAAAAACAATAAAACAATAATGAATAGTGCTTTTTAAAAATTAATTGATTGATTGTATATATGTTTCCATTTCGATACTTTTTTATCATTTTCAGAATTGTTTGTTACGATGTGATCTCAATTCTACCTTTTTTTTTATATAAATAAAAATAATTACTATATATATTAATTTTATATTTTAACGTTAAATATTTCGATATTAATATTGTTTTGAATCGGTCGCGTTTACTTCGTCGAAAATTATTTCATCCTCGAGCCAGAGACCGAACGAGTTAGATGTGAGGAGTGTGGGAAGTTAGTTAAGAAGTTAGGTGAGGAAAGCGGAGTGTGTGGGAAGTGCGAGGAGAAATTTGTTTAATGAAGTTTTTTTTTGTGACGAAATGAACATTCGACGAAATGGGTGTCGACGAAATGACTGTCGACGAAATGAATCAGACCCCTTGATATTAATATTAATGGTCGTGTGACCTATATTATTAATAATGAGTAAAAAAATAACACGATTTACAATTCATTAAATCTAAAATAATAAGTACTAATTTTACTAATGAATGATAATGATTTCATGGTCGAAAATGATGCTTCTTCAACTTCAATTTCTTCAACAAGCACAGCAAGAAGAACAAGAAGCATTGCGTGGAATCATTTTACAACCATAGATGGAAAGGCAAGATGCAATTATTGCTCCAGGTAAAAAATTTTTTTTGGATTTTTCAATATTTATACTATATAAATAAATATAAAATAAAAAATATTTTTGTAAATAAAATTATAAAATATAAAGATTTTTCATTTATTATATATAGTGTATTTGATTCAATTCAGTTATTATTATAGATTCGAACCAGTCAGTTTGAATCAAATCAAATCAGTTCAAATCGAATTATATATTCGAATCAGTCCGAATTGAATCAAATTATATATTCGAATCCGTTCGAACCGAATCGAACCAAATTATATTAATATATTTGAATCCGTTCGAATCGAATCAAATCAAATCAATCCGAATTCGAATCCATTCGAATTGGTTCGGATTTAATTGATTCGTTCGGAGCCTCAATCGGCAAGTTACACAAAAATAAGAACAAAGATTTAAGGATGCTGAAATTACCCGGGAGTGTTATATGAAATTAAACAAACCTGTTAAGTCCAATAATCCAACTTATACTTATCTTAATTTAATTATTGATCATGAAACTACAGAAAAAAATTCCATTGCATTTGGAATGGCTGTTACATTAAATTATCTAGATCCTTCAAAGGGCATCAAATTGATTCAAAGTGAAGTTGTAAAGTGAATGAATCAGAATGTCAAAAATAATCAATAATTGTTTTGGATCTTAATAATAAAATCATGCAACTACAACAACAATTAGAAAATTATGGACATGAAATATCAGAATTAAAAAAGGATTTAGATACTTATAATCACTTAAATGAAATTCAGAGTCTATATGAAGAGCAATTTAGCAAAAATAAATAACTCCTTGAACAATGAGATTCATGTTTTAGCAATCAACAAAAACATATATAGAAGCTATAAAGAAATTGAAAATGCTGAGTGTGAATCAATTTATGATGACATAGTAATAGATTTTCATTAGAAAATCTTATGAATTACACACTTCAACTTGGTTAATCAACATAATCAAGTTGTTGTGAAATTCATTGAAACTCCAACTCAAAATAGTTATAATTCTGATGACCTAAACCAAGAAAAACTTTTTAAAAGATCTGTTGCAGTTGATGCAATATATGGATGACGTCATGGGAAATATGTATCAGAAATTAATCTTTTAGAATCTGCTATCAAATATTCACTAGCATGATCCAAAAAAGTGATAAATATTGATAATCATATAACAAGTGGAGGAGGTTATTCTCACTTCCAAAAGTGGTTAGAGAGCTTATCAGATAGAGAAGAACCCCTACCTGAAGGACTTCTATTTATGGCCTTTGACAATGAAAAGAAAGGTCAAAAGAATTATTTAGATTGTGGTTTTAATACTATGGTATATCATATTGTAACAAGTTTTGTTGCATTTAATATAGGATCAGAGATTAAAATACAACATGCACAAGAACCATGGTTGTATAACACTTACACATGATCAATATAAAAACTTTTGAGCCCTTCACCTCAAATTCAACAAGAATTTGACAATGAACTTTATCACTTTCTTAATGAAATAATTGATCAATTAAAAACATAAAAAATGCAATCATTTAACAAAATTGATGATGACCTTACCAGAAACATGAATTCTCAAAATGGCTTTGATAAATATTGCCTAAGTTATTTGGCTTGCGAGCCAGCTCATGCGGAGCCTTAACCCTAATTCAGTTGCAAATGTGGAGAAATTTCTTTATCACACAGAAAAAAAATCAGGAATAAAGAATGGATCATGTGAATGGATGGTTGTAGTATGTGATGGTGTTCCATATTATCATGCTACCAAATTAAAACAAAAATTTCCTTGGTTGATTCTTGTACCTGGTCAATTACATGAAGAAATGAACATGCTTCATGCATATGTTGAATTGAATCAGTAAATTTAAAATATATATGTTATTTATTTGTTTGTTGTTTTGTTTTCTTTTAAAAACAATAATTTAGTGAAATTGATTTTAAATATTTTGCAAAGTGTCAAGGCTACAGAACAGAAGCTCAGCTTTTATATTTCAAAAAATGTCATAATTATCACAAATATTGGGATTCTATTTGCAATATTTGTTGACAAGCAATGGCCTTAGAGCTTGTGTGACCATATGTAAAAAAGTCAATCAACTTCATCAGCAAAAGGTTATATCACTTGGGCTAAAGAACAAAATGATCTGTTTTATCAATTTAAATATGAACAGGTAAATATTAATTTGTCAATTAATTTATTACAATTGTATTTATACTAATTTTTGAACAGATATTTATCTATATACAAGCAATCATTAATTTTAGAACAGGCATAAGAATAACCAGCTTTTGTTAAGAAATGCAGCAAGAAGAATATTTTCTCCCATTTGGTTAGCAAGAAGACACCCCATATATCATTTAATAGAGATATCAGACAAGGTTCAATTAATGAGACTTCATCCAACTATACATTTAATAAAAAAAAGTTTAAGACCTATTTTGCCATATAAGGTTTAATTAATTGGATTGGTTAATTAATATATTTTTGGATGTGAACTTAATAGTTATCTATCAATTTTTTATTTTATTACTATTATATTATTATTGTCAAGATCTTCAGGCGTATATTTGTTAATTTAGATACTACAGTCAGACTTCTATATAGTCACACACCTCAAGACCACAGTGAAATTTCAAGAGTTTTGATGACTATAGTGTTTGTGACTATATAGGACATTTTTTTAATATTATTAATTAGTAGCAGGGAATTTTTCAAATTAACAAAAAAATGTGACTATATTATGTTGTGACTATATAGGAGACTGATTGTATATGTTCATTACATACATGTTAGTCAAAATTATTTTTGTTTATAAATGATCATTGCCAAATTCAAAAATGCCAAAATAGTTTTTCATAGCTAAAATTAATTTTAATAGTGGTGTCACCGATTAAATTTGGGAGAGCGTATTTTAATTGGTGATAACAATTATTTTTTTGTTTTTGCGTGGATCAGAATGAATAGGGATCAACGAATTGATTTTGTTATTAGCGAATAATTTTGGTTAAAGAAGATAAAAATTTTAAATAAAATATTTCTATTTTATTTATTTAGTCTTATTTAGTCGAAACTAATTAACTTATGAGAAAGTTACTTTTACATTAGGTCGAAATCAAGTTCTTTACATATTAGCCCGAATTGCGCGATTCCGCTCGGTTTGGGCGATTCCGCTCAAATTGTGCGTTTTCGCTCAGATTGCGCGAATTCGTTCACTTTGTACCTGGGCGAATCCACACGTTTTGAGCGATTCCGCCCGTTCCGGGAGAATTGTCATTAATCTCTACTAAACAATGATGTGACCCGAAACTCTTTTGGCTTCCCGAAATAGTTTCAGGAGAAGAACCTAGTTTCTGTGAAAAATCCGAAACCTAAACTCCCTAAATTCCCGAAACCTAAACTCCCCCAGAAACTCCAGAAACTCCAGAAACCTAAACTCTCCCGAAACAACAAATAAAAAAATTTTTTTTTCTCCCATCTTATTATTGATTTATTAATTACATCTTGTTATAACCAACTTTATAAAATTAAATATATATTTTCTAATGTCTGATACAGATTTGTCTCCTAGTGAAGGTGCAGGTTTAAGACATTTGGCGGAAGACCATTATCTCAAGTTTGGGAACATTTTTTAAAAGGACCTGAAATTAAAAATAATAAAGGCCATTACAATGCTAAGTGCAATTACTGCTTGAAATATTTTGAAGTTGGATATCCGAATGTTCTTGAAAAGCATTTAGCAAGAGAATGTGTTGAGTGTGATGAGGAAATTCGTAAATATTATTTGAATTCGATAATTGAAAAGAGTAGGTCTAGAAACAATCAAAAAAAAGCTCAAGATTCTCATTATTCAACATCCAATAACAAAAATTTAAATAATCATCAAGTTTCTTTATCTGAATTCTATGAAAGTAAACCCTTACAAAAGAGAGAGAAGAAAGCATCAATAAATCTTTAATTCATACTTTTGTAATGGCTGGCATTCCATATAACACTATTGAGAACCCATATGTTGTAGATTTTTTAAAAAAATTACATCCAGCTTATCAACCATCAAATTGTAAAAAATTATCAATTAATTATTTAAATGATGAAGTGATTCATGTGAATAGAAAAATAGACCAGGATATTGAAAAAAATAAAAATAAGACTCTTGGTAAATATATATTTTTAACAATTTTATAATTGTTGATTAATAACCATATCCATAATCATATTTAGCTCTAGATGGGCGGTCCAATTCTAAGAACAAGTCAATCTGGAATTTTGTCATTATAACTCCTCAAAGAAAAAGTTATACATACAAGTTATGTGATTTTTCAGGAAGTTCTCATACTGGAGTTTTTTTGTCTGATCAAATTGAATCGATTATTTTAGAAATTGGTGTAGAAAAACTGTCAGCTATTGTGCTAATAATGTTAAACTTGCCAGAGAGTTAAAAACTACTAAATATTGAACATTAGTGTATTGCTCACTGTTTTAATCTTATAACAAAAGATTTACTAAAACATGAATTTGCGAAAACTTTAGTCTTCAAGTGCAAAAAAATTATCAATTTTTTTAAAAAATCATACTAAGCCAGCAATTTGCTTGAAAGCTACATTAAAACGTTAAATATTACTGGAGGAAGCCTAAAAAAGTACACTGAAACCAGATGGACCTCAATTTATGTATCCACAACTTCTATTATAAGATTGCAACCTGTATTTCAATTAGCAAGCAATGATGATAATTTGTAGTAAATTAGTAAATGCATTGTTTTAATCGATTTGTTTTATTTACTCTTTTATTTATTCAGATATTAAATGAGAATCCTGATATCATAACTAATGATGATGTTTTGAATATTTTAAATGGAAGAAATTTTTTTAAGAATTTAAAAAACTTAAATTTAATTCTAAAACCAATAAAAGAAGGGATTGAAATTCTAGAATCAGATAAAACAAATTTAGCTGACTGCTAATATCTGCATATGTTGAATTGAATCAGTAAATTTAAAATATATATGTTATTTATTTGTTTGTTGTTTTGTTTTCTTTTAAAAACAATAATTTAGTGAAATTGATTTTAAATATTTTGCAAAGTGTCAAGGCTACAGAACAGAAGCTCAGCTTTTATATTTCAAAAAATGTCATAATTATCACAAATATTGGGATTCTATTTGCAATATTTGTTGACAAGCAATGGCCTTAGAGCTTGTGTGACCATATGTAAAAAAGTCAATCAACTTCATCAGCAAAAGGTTATATCACTTGGGCTAAAGAACAAAATGATCTGTTTTATCAATTTAAATATGAACAGGTAAATATTAATTTGTCAATTAATTTATTACAATTGTATTTATACTAATTTTTGAACAGATATTTATCTATATACAAGCAATCATTAATTTTAGAACAGGCATAAGAATAACCAGCTTTTGTTAAGAAATGCAGCAAGAAGAATATTTTCTCCCATTTGGTTAGCAAGAAGACACCCCATATATCATTTAATAGAGATATCAGACAAGGTTCAATTAATGAGACTTCATCCAACTATACATTTAATAAAAAAAAGTTTAAGACCTATTTTGCCATATAAGGTTTAATTAATTGGATTGGTTAATTAATATATTTTTGGATGTGAACTTAATAGTTATCTATCAATTTTTTATTTTATTACTATTATATTATTATTGTCAAGATCTTCAGGCGTATATTTGTTAATTTAGATACTACAGTCAGACTTCTATATAGTCACACACCTCAAGACCACAGTGAAATTTCAAGAGTTTTGATGACTATAGTGTTTGTGACTATATAGGACATTTTTTTAATATTATTAATTAGTAGCAGGGAATTTTTCAAATTAACAAAAAAATGTGACTATATTATGTTGTGACTATATAGGAGACTGATTGTATATGTTCATTACATACATGTTAGTCAAAATTATTTTTGTTTATAAATGATCATTGCCAAATTCAAAAATGCCAAAATAGTTTTTCATAGCTAAAATTAATTTTAATAGTGGTGTCACCGATTAAATTTGGGAGAGCGTATTTTAATTGGTGATAACAATTATTTTTTTGTTTTTGCGTGGATCAGAATGAATAGGGATCAACGAATTGATTTTGTTATTAGCGAATAATTTTGGTTAAAGAAGATAATAGTTTAAATAAAATATTTATTTTATTTATTTAGTTTTCTTAGTCGAAACTAATTAACTTGTTATCAAGTTTTCCTTAGTCGAAACTAATTAACTTATTACCAAGTTTTCCTTAGTCGAAACTAATTAACTTATTACCAAGTTACTTTTACATTAGGTCGAAATCAAGTTTTTTATATACATGTTCTTTACATATTAATATTAGTCCGAATTGGGCGATTCCGCCCAGTCTGGGATAATCGTCATTAATCTCTACTAAATAAAATTAAATAAATATGAATGTGCTACGGATTAATTGATAAAAATTAAATAGACAGGACGTAACGCGAATTCAGATAATTATACACGTTATTAATAAATAAATAGAATTAATAAAATAAAAAAAATGAAAAAAATGAAAATAAGAATAGGTTAAATAATAATATAAATAAAAATAAAGATATAGTGGCAATCATCTAAAGACATTATCAAAAGTTGCCAATCTTTAAGTGCTGATACTTTATTAAATATGGGCTATTTTACCAAAAACTCTCTATTTTTGCAATATTCT